GAATGCAATAAAAGATAATCTAACATTCTTAAAGTTAAAAAGGTTTTATTTCCTCTCCCTAGATAAATATAATTTTATTACTTATGGGCCAAATAACATTTATTTAACCCAGGTTACAAAAATCATAAACCCTCTTTTCCCCTGATCTTGTACTAGTTTCCTGGCATCTTAATATTACTCGCTTCCAGCGTTTGAATTCGGATGAGCGGTTAAGTCCGTGCTCCATTTCCTTCGTGGCCTCTACAAAGCGAGAAGAGAGAGAGGAGGTCTTCACCGCATCCACTTAGTAGATACATCGCCTTGCTCTAAGAGCCGTTTCTTTGCACGGACTAGAAATTACAGAAGGAATAACAAGGGAACTTCAGCCATGTCTTGCGGTTTTAATGCTCTGCCGGGAAGGAATGGTTGCAGATGAAAAGGGAAATAAAAGTAGATTGTTTTACGAGCAGGCTAAACTGTGCGAGGTCGTTATGGTTGGACAAAGGCAGAACCGGAGCGCCAATATAAAGTTTCGGTTGCCCTGGAAACAAGTACGAAAGTGGGGGGAACGCGGAGGCTCGTCTTCCGCGTAGTCCCTAAAATGTTGAATGGCTTGAGGTCTGAAAGAAGACAAGGGAATAGTCTGTATACTCTCATTAGAAGTGAACATTTCTTCGTGGAATAAAAAGAACGTAATGACTCTCGCTTTGAAATTGGGGGGACGTTTTTCCTGGCGTCAAGAACTCTGTACACGCTTATTGTACTTGAAGATGAGAGGTGATGCATTCCTATCGACTAGCGGCTGTATTTTTGTCAGAACCGCATTATTTGCTAGTCGCTCACGTAGTCACGAAGTTAATCCAGGAATCAGAAGGTTCATTATCGCATTCGCACTGGCCCGCCATTGGTCTAATCGTTTTCCGTTTTGTACGTAGTTTTAAGGGATCCAAGTTCCAGGCCTCGTGTGACATTTCGTTATGTGATGGTTCTTTATGGTGCGAGTTGTTAGTCTCATGACTAACCGCAAGCTAGGGGACCACCAATTGTCGGCTGTCCGCAACCCGTAGTGACAAGGGACCCGCTTAAGATTGGGGGGAGGGGGTAACTGGGAGGTCGAAATTAAAGATGTAATGGACTCAAATATTATCCGCGGCTTGTGGAAGGAGAACACGGGATAAAACATGAATATATATTACGTAATTATGTGTCTTATGAAATTTCATGTAACCTGGTGCAAGTTTACGTAAATTTCAGGGGTACTTTCTGCCTCCATCATCAGGATCTCACCTGTGATGGAGCCGGGAGGTATCTCTGAAATGTCGGTAAGCTTCTACCAGCAACCGGAGTGTCACGCAGTTCACATATTAAGAGTTCTGAATTGTTTATGCGAGCGTAAGGTAATGGTCACTCCCGGGTCACGTTACAAAAATTCATCCCCGGCAAAAATCACTTAAGAGCCAATATATTGAAGACTTAAAAGAGTGTGGGATTTCTTGTCTACCTAAGCGACGTTTCCATTGAGGTAAAGTAAGATTATTTTAGCTTAATCATAGCTTCACGTACAATGTCTTCTGCTGTCCTGGAGTCTACAAATCATTCCTTTGACTGTACACTGTTTTTCAACCGGTTATTATAGCAGATTTCTGATCCGTTTTGTTGCTGCAAATAAACGTCTGTGGAAAGTCATTTATGTTACACGCACAATACTACTGTCGGAGTTGTTGCCGTGCAGCACGGCGCTCCAGGATGCTAACTTCGATGTGCTTAGTCAACGCGAACCACGATCCACTTACTCAGGACGGAACGCCCTTGTTCTGTGCTGTCCAGGGAGACTTGAAAGCGAAATTATAAATCACGATGTTCGGCGATACAGGAGCCAGGCCTACATTAGGCGCTGGTAATTAGGTTAGTCTACAAGGAGACGCAGTGTTCTCTGTTCGTATTCGGTCACACGAACGCAAGGCGAAGCCATGATATGAAGATAATTGATATAGTTTTAGAAAGTTAAAATGTTTGTGAACGCCACTGAAATCATTATTATTGTACGAATCATTTAATTATGGTGATACTTGTTATCATTCTTGCTTTATGTGAGGGCGGAACTTGGATTGAAGATGTTTGAGAATTCGATGCTGAGAAAAGTATTTCGAACTAAGAGAAAGAGAGAGAGAGAGAGAGAGGAAAGAGGGAGAAATGCAGGAAATTGAAGAACGTATAGATCGAGGTGTTTCATAATTTATACTATTAATAACATATTATTACGGTTATCAAGTTGAATAATATTAAATGGACGGGGCACGTAGAAGGATTAGAAATGCATACAAAATTTTGGTTGAATTACCCGAATGAAAGTACCGCCTGAGAGACCTACGCGTAGATTGTAGGATAATATTAAAATAAATCTTGTAGAAAGAGGATTCGGAAGTCTGGATTTAAGTGATATGATTCAGGATAGGTTGCAGTGGCGTGTACTTATGAACAGATTAATAAATTATCGGGTTATGTAAAGGGGATATTTTTGCCACATGAACGACTGTCAGCTTCTCAAGAAGAGATCTGCTGCTTGCGGTTAGTCACAGCTGCAGTCACGAAGTGAAATTATTGAAGGCTGAGGAAGAAGTTAATCCCATTTCTTTACCTCGGTGTTACATTTTTTATGGCGACGGCGTGAAATGGGTGTGCTGTGAACTTTAACGTTATTCTTTTTTCTCAAGTTCGTAATATTCATTGCAATTTATGTCTTGCGTCAATGTGAAACACGTTCTGCTATTAACAGCGCCGGTGAAGGGAGGCAGACTGACGTAAGAAGTCATAATAAGCGGACGGACAACTGAGACGCAGATTTCGGTGCAGCGCTCGTTGAAACAGAAAGTCAGGAGACGTTGCGAGTAACGTGTTAAGGCACGCCCGAGACATGGCTGTCACACTGACCTAGGTTCAGGTACTTCTTGTGAACGGCCTCGTAAGCTGTCCACTCTATGTTCTTGAAGCGGTTCCTCTCCTGCCGCACACCGTGTACCAGGTCCGGCTCCTGTGGTTCATTCGGGTTCCTGCAGAGGAAGAAACTGTCATTGCGTCATGCGAAGTGCCGACTGTTCGGTTCTTATGTCGCCTGAGACACTCGACAGCCAATAATCCCCTCTCAGATTCTGAAATTTCAACACACATCTTTTGAGTGGCGTACAAATGCTGCATGCTTTTAAGTTTTAATCAGGGCTGTGGAGTCGGTACTGAAATCTCCGACTCCGGCTTCGACTCCGACTCCTTCATAAAAGCTCAATATGTATTAATAAAAAAGTAAATGACACCATGAGAGATTTCATCATCACCACGTGAATCATCAGGATACTTTTTAGAATTATAACCTATATTTAAATATACGCCTAATGGTTATTGCAGAAATCGTTTGATCTGTATTCTTAAGGTCCCGGAGCCAAAGTTACAAAGCATTATTCCCACACCACGTGGCTCAACGCGTCGTTGAATCTCCCTAAGCGTGAGGCGGACGGCGACTCACACGGCATAGAAACTGTCCCTAAGATTTTATATCGAGGTCGGAGTCGGTACATTTTTACAGACTCCGACTCCACAGACCTGGTCGTATCTGTGACATGACCGAGATTTGTACGCGACGAAAATTAAACATTTGCGACCCCATGTTCATAGGAACGTTTCTTATTATTTTTGATCCAGGAACACGCACACGAAGTTTATAAACATACTTCTGACTCACCCTGTACATACATACCTTCTGTTGTTGATGTTCATAGCGCGGCGTAGGGTGGCCGACGTACGTCTTTGCTATTAGCTCAATAAACACAGATTTAACTTATATTGTGAGGCAGAAGTTCATAGGTTTGAAGCCGATGAAGTTGCTCACTGCTGGATACAGCATGGAATCGTGTTTCTGAGGCGGAAACGCCTTTTACAGAGCCGAGAACTGAAAGGCTTCGGTTTCATAATTTATCCCTGAGGCAGCAGTTTCTCGCTCACTTACCCGGTCCGGGCGAAGTTGCTCCAATATATCATTGTCGCCTCAGAGAGGAGCATCTCCGACTTGGTATAATTGCGGGGGAAGTGAGCCAGCCCTCCCACGAGGGGCGCCCCGAAAGCATACGGCAGCTCCTCCCCATGGATACACCCTTGTCTCTGCAACACAGTTTATGGTCATGTTTATTGTTTACATTCTGTTGTCACAAAATAAATTTCAACGAGTCGGCTGAATAAATGTTTGCAATTTGGGATGAGCGAGTGTCTTCCGAACGTACGAAGCTCTTCTACATAACATCTAAGAATTCAGCGCGTACCTCAAAGAAAACACAACATTTAAATTAAATTCACAGTCGTTACACAACAGTTTAAACCTAATTATGATGACTGGATCGAAGCTTTGGTTGGTGCCAGTTGACTGTGAATCTCTCCTGAGATTGGTTGAAGTGTTAATTGTAAACTTAATATGTACTTAGGTAATTTGCTCTATAATATAACAATCCACTGGATACACGTGCGTCTCCGCTACATGTCGAACGCCAAGTGTGTTATCAAGAACAAAGTTCAGAAACCCTTGTCAAAGTATACAGTTTCTTCCATCTGATCCTGAAACATGAATTTTTTTGACTTTGCTGGTTACCCGTTCTGTTTCGGGATTGGTGGGCCAATTCAAATTTACGCCGAAACAACCCTTCCTCTCTCCGGCTGGAATCGACGCGCGAAGTTCGTCACTTCTGTCGGTTTGTCTCGTCATTCCCCCTGTCACTTAGGCCCCTTCTTGCATAAACTCAATTAACGCTGGACCGACGTCCTCAGGGTGAAATACTGACGTGGTCTGTCGAAGTATCGAGTTTGCAAGAAGTTTTGAACTTGTTGGGTGTGCAGGTTCTCCGATGACCATCGGATGACAGTGACAGATAAGATGTCTTAATTGAGATGGCCGAAGCCTGAGTTTAACCTCACCTGGCGAACCTCGCCTGCGTATGTGCGGGTGCTAATGAACTTCGTAATTAAGCAACAGCATCCCGACTTCATATTCGATGGGTAATTAAAATCTGGGTTCGATCTAAAGACTTTACGATGCCACTAATCGGACACAAGTGAGTTATGGAACAAAGAAAAATCAGTCGGTAAAGACATTCTGAGATTTTGAGGGGTATACTACGAGCATTTCTTATTATAGTGTAATTATCTTCAATCCAATGAAGGAAACAAGTCTCAAGGTGTGATAACTAAATTAACACAATGTAAAATTTTACTGCTGGGCAGATGTTCACTGTACTTTATTCTGTAATATTTGCCAATTAAAGTAGGCTACGACCGATTCCTCATACCCAGTTCACTGTACACTATCTCATATCATTTTGACTCTGATCAACATTCGGAATTACGAAAAAACTAACGACATGCCGAGTTTGATGGAAATCGGTTCAACCTTTCTCGAGATATAAGCTAACGAATAATTAAACACAGAATCTCACAATTTCAACTGTATAATGTACGATGAGATTGGTTGGTCTCAGTGAACTCATAGGATACTCATCTTCATAATTCATCAAAACATTTTAATGTTTAATTTCGTGACTATTGGTGGATCTCAAGTTAGACCACACTGGCCCAAATATTGTCGTAGTTTTACATACGTACACCCATACATATGAGTGAATGTAGTGTTCAGATGACATGACGTATTACCACGAGATGCTTTCAGCTGCAGCCGTCCCGTCAGCGAATTGAGTGCCCGTGCTGAGGAGGTCGCTGTGTTGACACGGAAAGTGGTTGTGGAAAGGAGGTCGGGGAAGAGGGGCCCTGGAGAGGCATCTTGTGAGACGGGGCACACACTTCACAAGTTCACTGCATCTCTTTCTTAAGAGGACAACGTTTAGAGACGGGAAGAATTATAGCCTTCGCCTTTCATAAAGACCCATATACTTACTTTGATACCCCGGATATCAGGCTTAATTTCTGCGACTGTTTTTGTACTCAGTTCAATGACGGCGAAGTTGAATTTCTCTTTCTGATAAAGCGGTGTTAAAATTTGCGCGGACGTGTTTCTCGCAAAATAATTGGCGCCGGAGATCTGTTAATCCACGTTTAATCCAAGAACTTCCTCCCCATGACGTAACAGTTGGCTTGTGGTTCACAGCGGACCCTAAAGACTTAACGGGCTCAATTTGTAACGTGTACAGAGATGCATCATTTTCAGCATCAATTACAAGGAAAGATAAAATAATTTTATTGTTTTATAGAGCGATGCTTGGCCGTCAGTCATGCTGCTCCTACTTGGAGCCTGGGAGTGACAGTTGCTTTCATCTTTATTAGTGATTGCACTGTGTATTATTATTTTAGAAAATAATTTGCAGGCCCCAATTGTTTCTATATCTCTTATGAATATAGCAATGCCAATTTGAAGCTTTAAGTAGCGAAAATGCACTACCAAGGTATACCAACTATTCTATGTGTTCAGGAGTCGTTATGACTCTGTGGAGTGCCAGGCCATAAAATGGGAGACCCAGATTCAACTTTCATTAAGGAGATAGGTACTTACTTGGATACTTAGGCCTTGAGCATCTGCTGGTCCCAACTCTCTTTGGCTTTGATCTATTTAGACATTTTGGTAGGACTCCTTGGACGAGGGATCGGCCCGTCGCAAGGCCTCTACCTGTACACAGGACAGAAAAACGCGGACAAACATCCATGGCTTGAGTGGGATTCGAACCCAAGTGGCACAAGGCCCACGTCTCAGACCGCGCGGCCGCTGTGACCCCCAAAGACCCAAATTAACAGACTATTTATAAATAATAGTTGGATAAGCGTGTAAAAATGGAAGTGTTGGAATTTTCGTATTGTTAAGAATTTGTTTATTTATCTGCGGTTTATTTAACGACGCTGTCAGTAGATCATGCTTATAAAATTCTTTGTGGTAACGTCGACGTAACTATAAACTTTGTTGAATTAGAAGCATATAAGACGCAACCGAAGATGATTCCAGCACTTGGAACAGACACTGGATTCTCCGGTTGTCGTATCTGAAACATGATTTATCTCCTCCATAGGAGTTGTAGCAGTTTCACTTGGTCTTGAAGTTCGGGTGTCATGGAACCGCGAGATCAGTGACCATCAGACTGTGGCACAACCTTTTCTACTGTTCCACGAATTAGTTCACTGAAAGTTGCGTACGAAGAGGAGGACCGCAACATTTGCACACGTAATTAGACACGACGTTTCATCACGTAAGTCGAAGAGCGCATGAGAGGGACGGGGGGTGAGAAGCTCTGACTTACTCCCGTCTCCCTGATGTTGGAGACATTAAGTACATCCGAAACGTTGGTAAATTTTTACCAGAACCAAAATACGAAGATTCCTAATACTGGAATTTCTACCTTTAAACTTTAAAGTTTCTGTTGTCTTCTGGACTTATTTTGACTAAAACAATGACACCCGTTTGTTTTAAGAACACATTCGTTTACGTTACAGAACTGCATCTTAAGTAGAAAAGATTATGAATTTTTCCAAAGTTTAAAGTTCCCATATTTGGCCCAGGTACCTCAGTCACTTGGTGTTATTAAGATGAAGGTATAAATGATGATATGGTTAGTACATGCACTGTTTACGTGAGAAATACGCAAGAAATTTTAGTCGGAAAACCTGAAGGCAAGACGTCACTTGGCAGAAACATGGATATGAGACAGGATAATATTAAAAAAAATAAAATGTATGGTGTGAGGAAGTGGTTCAGGTAGATTAAATAGCGAAATGTTCTCGCCAGATAAGCAAGTAGGAGCTTCCTAACAAGCTTTCTGCTTTACTAATTTAGTTAAATTAATTGGGACAGCGAGACGCCAAAGCGAATCCCAACATAATTCTCTTGTCTTGTCAGGATTTTAGTTAATTACGTTATCAATGAAAAGGATAACTTCCATGAAATCAAACATCACGATACACTCTTATTTGGTTCCAAAGTTTCTCTTCCGGTATCACAGAAAAGGCGAAAGTCTGTAAATACTTGTTTTTATGAAACTAAGCGCAGTTCTACTGGCTAAAATATTGCATTAATGCGTAGTAGCGCAGTTCTACTGGCTAAAATATTGCGTTAAAGCGTAGCTAAGCGTTTCCAAAGGTAATTTAAAGTTCATTATAATTATGTGCTAAAGCTTTAAGTAGGCCTATGTCACGTGAATGCAATATGGACCCTGTTGATTATTATCTGTGCTCCTCCTATATGTAGACTGGGAGAAGTTTACCGACGTTTCAGAGGAGTTTGAGTCCTCCATCATCAGGGCGATGATCCCTCTGGAACGTCAACAAACATCTACAAGTCTACACGGAGCAACAGATCAGAGGACAGCCATTTTTATCTTCGCGCCTTGAGAACCTCAGAGCTCACAGTGTGAATAATTTCTGTAGGGAAGTATCTTGTTACAATCAGGAACTTCAGGCTCAGTCATAATATGTATCCGGAACACATACCGCATTCTGTGTGATCGTCGCTGGAATTAACCGCGTGATGACGTAATTATATAAGTTCCAGGTACACACTTGTGTGGAAGTAATTACCTTTGTACCCAGGTACAAAGCACGCGTTCTTTTACTCAGATGGATATTCTGCGTGGCTGATTACCGACCTGTAAACGGGAAGCTGCAGTCCTTTTAAACTTGAACTTTACCTCTGTTTGTCCTTAAACAAGAAACTTGACAGTAATTACCGTCTACGGTGGTCTGAAGGACACGGAGTTATTAATTTTCAACTGAGAGGCATTTTGCTCGACTTGAAAGTTTATGTGTGATTTTCTGTTCAAATTATTTTAGTTTCGTGGAGGACTTAACCCGATCGGGCATAGTTGAAGTTCCTGAATTATGTGTTCGTGTTTATTACACTGATCTTTTACATCTGGATAAATGGATGGAGACACACAGACATTTTTACTTTGATGTTTTAATGGGGTAATTGAGTCGTGAAGTGGGGATATTTGGAACGTAATATTTCTTTGAGGTTTGAAGTTTTGTGATTTCAGTGTGTTAGCTGAAGCCCTTCAGTCTTCTGGGACTTTTGCAATGGAAGAATTGTGAAAAACAAAACATACCAACGTTGGTTATTAACGTGTTGCTTCCTTCTTCAGGATGATCTCGAACAAAGCCCGAAACATTTTTAACTAAAA